ACAACCCCGTAACAATATGCGTTTTGTACTGCTGTTACACAGCACAAAACGCATAAAAAATTGTTAAAAAACTGATAATTGCGCAGCCATGACGTAATACCTTCGCCCCACCCGACGTTCTTTTCTCCCACATGCGGGCAGGGGCCAAAATGCAGTCAGTATGAGTTCAAGTATTAGGCTACAGCACAGGAACCGTTTTGGCTGTCAGGGATCTGCAAGTTTAGTGCAAAAACGTATGATCGCATTGGCAAGCCTGGTGCGTTGCAGCCTGAATTCGTCTAGGTTATGGATTTTAGCATTTTTCGTAAACTGTTTTTTGACAGCGTGGATAATCGAACTATGGGAGTTTGGTGTCCGTGATGCTACTGAGTTAATTCAAGTTCATATAGCAATCACGCTGGCCCTATAGCTTTGAGCTGCATACTGTTAAAGTGTATCCACTTTGCGTGTTCCAAAATATAGCAAAGAAACGGTTATTTCTTTCAACCATACCGTCTAAATGTACTACAGAATTCATAGCAAATAATCATTTGGAAACTGATTAAAAACGAGTCGGTCCATCGGCTAAATTTATCGGAAACTGACGATGAAAAAACCTTCATCACTCCGCTGTGTTCTGGAAAACACTTCTTCAACATTTGACTGCGATTTTGCAATTCCAAAGAACATATCGTGAGCATAAAGCTGTACCCACTGAGCATCGTTTTTAAGCTGTTCCCTTAAGATAGCTTGTTGAAAAGTGACATTTACACGGATCTTAAGAAGCCAGAAAAGCGCAGTTACTAAAGCATTGACACAAGAGTAGGCGCATCCTAAAAACACCGAGGAATTTGCGCCGGTTTTACATCCTTAATTTGGTTAGGGGCAATTTTAGTGCTTGTTGTAAAAGTGGTGGTTTTACATTTTTACAATAGTCATTTAATGCCCTGATCAAAGTAACTGTTGTAGTGGGTGCCATATCCAGAAAAGTGAAATGAAAATATTTTAAAGATGCTTGAAATATCTCTAATATGAATTTTTTTTCGTTGCCAAGCACCATGGCAAAATTTTTTATCCGGATTCAAAGACATACAAGAGAATTCCTAAGTTTGTTCCTTGCTCATCGTAACTCCCGCTGAAACCAATCACTTGCTTGGCCCCAGACACGGTTTCTCGATATTCTGTATCCTGCAATTTTTCGGATTAGCCATCTAAGAACTGAGATTCTGTAGTGAAGCACCGTGTTTTTGCTTTTGTTTTTGCTTAGCTATTTCATATTTTCATTTCATAAGGGTAGCGGATTGCTTGGACAGTGGCTTCTTGTTTCATCGGTGCCGTGGCTAACTCTTGCTGGTGAGTACTGTGTTCCGCCGAAACTTTACTTTCTTCTTATTTTTTCACTTTTATGGATTTTTGCTGTTAGATGGAATGCAACCCAGGCTGGAACCCATCTGGCTTGTCGGTACGATTGTGCGTTTTTTCCCTAAAGAGCAAACATGACCAAACCGTAAAACTCTTTTTGAGCAGCACAGTAAAAAGTATACCTTCCAGTGCTTAAAGCGAGAACTCAGCTCGATTTTCTCCCTTGCTTCTAGAAAATAAACTGTTGCTTTCACTGCTTCATCTCCGAAAACGATCAAGGTAAGCGGTCCACCAAAGCTTACTGGTGTTCCAGCTTTAGACGAATTGACAACTGGAGGCTCCGTTGCGGGAAACTGTAAACTCCACGACTCGTTCGTACCATTTTTCCCTCCGTACATTCTTCAATGGCAGTAAAAATAAAGAATGGTCCAATGCGTTTCAATTTCGCTGAAGTTCTGTATGTTTGGAAAATGAGAAAATGGTGGGAGCACCATTTTAAAGTCAGCAAACAGTAGAAGACTTGAGCCAGAGCGTTGCTGCTATCGCTTCAGAGCAACAGGCACTAGAAATGTTTACGCGGATGGGTCAGCGAAGCCAAAATGAAACAGAAAGCATCCTCAAACCGCAAGAACCAGGCAAAAAGGTTTAGCAATATCGTCAATATCGTCTACCTGGGAAAACGGCCGTATTCGCCAGTACTTACGGCCGCATATATAGGCAGTTTTTGAGCCTCAGGCAATGATTTGATGAGGCGACAAATTTCCTTGGCACGTCGAACAGCGTTATCTTTTCCCAGCTCGTCTGGAGCAGGTTTACTGATCAGAATGACACCTTTGATTGTATTCTAAAAATGTTATTATTTATTGATTCAACAGCAGCTGGTACTTGAGGCTCTGCCAATTAAGCGACGCGCACCGTTGGGGCCTGTGCGATCATGCGTGTCTGCAGTATTTCGTATATAGCTAGAATTTATGTCATACTGACCCTCGAGGTTCAGCAAGTTAATTGTGCAACTACGTGGTACTTAGACTCCGTTAAAAATTAAGCTTTCCAGCTTTTCTAGTTCCCGAGTTAGCAATTTCCCTGACAAAAACTTTCGCAGAGCTGTCCGTGACAAACACACATATCTGAGGGTTGAACTTGAAATTTTTAAGTTGTACATAGGCTGTGGACACCTCTTTAAAATTTTGACCTTCCAGCTTTTCTGACTCCTGACTTAGCGATTTTCCTGCCAGAACTTTCTTGTGCTTGTACACAGAGCCTAGGCATGCATAAGGATCGGTACCGCGCTTCTGGAGTAGCAGCTGGCCAGGAAACACACTGGCAAAATTTTAGCGTCGGAGCTTGTTTGGTTGCCGAGACAGACGCAGGCACATAGACGCACCCACACACGCACATACGCACTCACACACACACACGCACACACACACACATACACACATACACACACATACACACACAACACACACATGCACACGCATTCGCACACCTTGGGTTTTCATAAAATGCATTTTTGCACTTGCATATATGCAAAAGTGCATAATGAAGTCATGTTTTTATTAGATCTATTGATGCTTTGCTCTCAATCGGTGAGGTGAATTCTCATGATTTAAGAGCGGCAATGTTTGAAAAAAGGTGGTGATGCACAGCACGCAGCGGTAACTTTCTGAAACTGCTGAAGCTTCAAAGGCTCCTTTATCGAAGGAAATTTAAAACAGACTTCAACACGCGTTTGGCATACCATGCATCCCAACAGAAGCATAATCCGGATAAATTTTGATAATTTTTTGTAGCGCTGTAACGATATTTGATGAAAAAGTGTTTTGTTTATAGTGCGTTTTCCGAAAAAGATGCAGTTAGTGCACACAGAGCGATTTAGTGGGCAGTTTGGCGAGATCGACTTGCTGAATTACAGCGCTACTGATCGCAGGCAAAGGCACAGTATATTTTTACCATTTTTTGGGTTATCGAAACGACACCCCCATACTACTTATCCAGAGAAGCGTATGACCATTTATGGCTACAAGAAGAGACTCTCCAGGCATGTACGCTCTATTCCTCACTCTGTTTTAACCACGTTCGCTTTTCTCCTTTCATCAATAACCACGTTTTGCATCTCCGTGCCACTTCTTTTCACACAGCAGTACTGAAGAGATAGGCACTGCGTCACATTGGAGACATTGACAAAGTCGGGAAATAGCGCCAGTTGGGGTTTCGTCGGCTCGGAATCTTCGACTGAACGATAAATTTCAAACTGGCACCGTTTGCAGTTCGTCAAGGTGCATCACTTTCATGATTAATGCGCAAATTTGTCTGCTCAGCTTTTGCAGCATCTCATTTATCTGGCAAAGATTGAGGAGCTTAGGTAGTCCCTATAAATTTTCGAAGTTTCTTTCCAGTGCGAACTGCCATTTCGAGTGAACTTCTGGAAAGATTGAACAATATGCCACCGTTCTGTTTTACACACTTCTCGATTGGTATACGAGTCCAAAAAGCAGTTGCTCTGTATGTCGAATAATTCATATTTTTTGGCATTTTTCATCACTTTTGTTTTTCTTGCATTCCTTATTCGTATATTTTGGTCGACTTTTTTGCCAATTCTTTACCAACTTTACTAACCAAAAGGATTCTCTACGAGTCTTTACCTGCTTTCCACGAAGACCTTCAGCCAAAAGAGCTCGAATCAGAGTCAATAACTCTGCTCTACCAAAGGCATTTTAACGTTTTTAGCTTTACTCAAACGAAAACTTCATAATTACATCGATTCTAATCTTCATTTTGGTTTCGTTTGCAAGTCAGTTAAACACTGCATCTAGCTCAGTGTTGTTGGAGAACATAACATGATCGGGTAAACAATGTTGAAGCAGTTGCTTTCTAACCTGGCTCAGAAACTGATTTGCAGTAGATTTATCTTCCTCAACCCGAAATAACCTGACTTTTTCTTTGCAGAAAATCCGGTCAACAACCCAAAATCCATGTTTGGCATAGGCCTACCTCTTTTTTCCACCCAAAAAGATTTTGAAACAGCTGCTTGTTACTTTCAGGTTTATGCATGCATAAGTCGAAACCAGATCTGAAAGAAGAAGAAGTAGATTCTTGAATGGTGAACGTAAACGCCATGGTTCACATACGACCAGTTTTGTGCTGAAAGATTGCTTAAGCCTTTGCGCTAAAATTTATGAGGAAAACATATTTTTTAGAATCATAAAGATGCACTTTAGCAGGTCCAGTGACGGAAAAATGATGTCGACATGCACATCCTTACGTTCCAGCAATGCCTTCGGAATAACAATAACGGAAAAAGTACCGGTAAGCATTTCATCAGCTTGCACCCAGCAAGAATCTAGTACAGCTGCAAATTCAATAATCCAGTAACTACGTGCACCAGACTTCCAGATTCACAGTTTCCCGCACAAATGCTTGTCACCAAGTAGCACTATTTTTTGGGTAGATAATACTATTTAATGTCTATGCATGCACAAGTCGAAGCCAGCATTGAAAGTGAAAGAAATAGATTCGTAAATGGTCAGCGGAACGCAATAATTTGTAGAAGACAAAGTTTTGTATCTAAAAAAAGATTAAGACTCTGCGTCGTAAATTTATGCGAATAATATATTTTTTAGAAGCATTAAGGGACACTTTAGTAGGTCCAGGGGCAGAAATACGCATTTGTTTTTGTCATTCTTTTTCACTTTCACGACGTCGAGTTTTCATGCAAAAATTGTTAGTGTCTAACGGCATCATGCTTGAGGTGCAGAAACTGTTTTACATGCGCCTGCTCAAACTTGTACATAGCATTCTAGCTGGTTTGGTTGCGGGTTTACAAAACTATCACCATCGAATTGCTTATTTCTGCATGTGGAAAGGAAGGGGGCATGAAATTTTCGTTCATTCGGAACTGCGGAATATGCTCAGGTGTAGCCCTATAATTCGACCTATTACCTTCCTCTCACTAATCCTTTACACCTCGACCTACTTCCCTCCACTCACCAATTTCTAACAATTCCACCAAATTCTAAATACATATCTCGTTTCTAGCTCTGCTAAGGGGAGTTTTTATAAACCGTTTTTACGCATTCAGGCGAGGCTAAACTGAACATACAACACCAAATTTTTGTTGTTTGACTTGATTTAACATCTGCTGCGTTGACAATTAGACGAATTAGATAAATTATTAAGTTCTAACATCGGAACGTTGGCCCGGTAGCGAATATTCTGCTGTTTCGTAGTACGGTCACTAAAACAGACATAAATGAGATGGGTGTCCACCATGAACTGCGGAAAATCATCGTCAATCCGGGAAGCCAACCCAATTCCTGGAAAACTTACATGAATTGTGAAGAGCTCCATAAAGTCATACAAGCGAATTAAACAACCGTACAGGATTACGCACATGAGAAAAGTCAAGAACAAAGAACTTAGGATGTGCCGCCTGTATCAGTGGCGAGAAGAAATGCGATTATGAAACAACAACTGAATTAATGCATATCTACTTGACAGGCTATCAGAGTTAATGAAAAATTCATTTTTGCTTCGGGAAATTATGTAATAATATTTTCTAACGAAGCATCGCTACCTGCTGCATGCATCATGTCCCGTCATGCTGCGGTTCAAGGAAAGCTTTTTCTTCTTCATACTCTTTCGTCCAGCCGTTTATTAATTCTTCAAAATTCACAGGATACTATACGGAAAACAAATCAATTATTATAGGGCACGAAAAATTACTTTCCTTAGCGTTACAGAGTAGCCGCTGAGAAAACTAAATTCTCTGGCTCATTACTTCTGCGGTGAAACAGACATCGTGGGCCAGCACACTTGCGAGCATGGAAGGAGTTCCTGCACCATTCAAAGTTCGTGCAGTGAAAAGGATGACGGGAGCCCTTTTAGGCTGTTTTTAATTAAATCTCCTCGCTGTCAACAGATTAGCAGAATTCTGCGAATAGTAGTTTGCAAGATCCACACCTTTTCCGCTGCTCCGTCTTTGATATTTCGGTTATATCGTCTTAGCAGATTTTCTTCATTATAATGCTTTCTTGGTGGTTTTAAATACTTGGACCAAAATTCGATGATCAAAATTTTGCTGGCTGTACGTATTCTCTCCAGTCTGTTTACTTCGTCATACCAACTTTTACACACTCTGAAACGAAACAAATACTGCCACCAATCATTAACACCCCTTAGACTACACTTAAAGTCTTGATTCTTTTGACATACGGCCAGACACCCAATGATTCTCTACAAAAAAAAGTGCATTTAAAAAATTCCGGCGAGGGCGCAGGCTTCACAGCGCAGCCATTAAAATTTTCACCTACGTTCGGTTAGTGAAGAAAAAAAAAACAGCCTTCGTAAGGGCAGGATTTCAGCAAACTTTATTTAAGCTTTTTAAGTGTAACACTCGTTTTAATCTAAAATCAAAACTATATACCAAAACACTGAGGAATTGGAAAGCTAATTTCATATTCGATGCCTCAACCAAAGACCGTGGGTGTTTTACAGTTCCCTTGTATTTGTAGTACTGGGGCAAATTAAGTGACCAGGTAGACAATGAAATGCAAAAGCAGTACAGACACACAAATAAGTACGTACAAACAAGCACATGCATACCTATATGCATAATACCTATAAATTCATACGTGTACCCATATGCATTTGCATTCGAATACGTACAGAAAAGCGCATATTTGAATGTAGTTGAGTTGACATAAAAATTAATTAAACTGAAAAGTTTGCCCCTTACACTCATATCAGCACTAGCAATGGTCATGCTGAACACTAAAATATGCGAAACACCAGGTCGAAACATTCCTGTTCATCTAGCTATTTTTAATATATTTCATGTCTTGCATATATCACCGTCAATAATTTCATTACATACTTAGACGCATATGCACAAACATGCGCGCAAACTTGGATGCATATACCAAAGATCACCTTTTTAAGCTTGCTCGTCTCACTGATGCGACGCAAAACAAAAAAACCTGCTAAAGGTATTTCTTTTTTCTGTTTGTCCATGGCTACTCCGCAAAGTGTAAATTCCCGATTACTTCATATTAATTTCAATATTTCTAGAAAAACAAACTGGGCAACACGAGCTCGGTCTTCTGTTCCCAAATAGTTCAATATGTGCGCCAAAATTTCTCTCCGTTGAACCAGCAGGTGATTTTGACTGCAACATTCTGCGTCGGTGCTGGATTGTTTGTGGTCGGGTTCTGCTCCCGCTATGACTTGGTTGCTTTGAAACTTCTTGGAACTGCTGCCAGCAATTACATCCTCGACCACTGGCTTGCTGGACAAATTTTGAGTCGCTTTTGCTGGAAGTGACTTTCTGTAGCAAATTTATTACAGGAAGTCTTGAGTTCAACTTTGTTCATACTTTTTGAGTTTGCTTATTTGTTAATGCGGTTTAGCAGGTGGCTCTTTAGTCATACAACAAAATCTTTTTGCTTTTAATCCCTGTTCTCTGTCCTCTATCCTTTGCTGCAAAACCCCCTCTTGCTTAGTCGTTATATTTGATATGCGTTTTCCTATTGAAGTCAAATCAAAAACTTCTGCACATTTGCTCTCAATGGAAGGCATCTGCACACTTATTAATATTAATAACAGTATCTGCTTCTTTACCTATTCGTACGGCCAGCTTAATCTGCTTTCCTAGTCCCTGTGGATTCCGGGCATACATTCTCAACAGGGCTTGAGAGTCGCAACGCTTGAAGACGAGGTGCTGGTGCTCAGTACACGCCGCTGGATCTACCATGACAAATAAGCATACGAAATTTCTATTAATATGTGCGAAGCTTTGAACCGATAACCGCTTCAGATAATGAAGGAGTCATTAGCACTAGCTGAAGGCTAACGATCGGGCGATGCAGCACTGGTCAAAATAACCACCAAATGAAGAGAAGAAAAAATGTTACTGCTGTTAACTACGCTGCTGGGCGCTCGAGTAGGAATGTACACACTAATAGTGAACCAAAAGCCGTTTCAAACATTAGCAAATAAAGCTCTATTAAATTATCGGTACCGGTAGCTTTAGTTGTTGCATCTGTTGGATAAGCAATTGAGAAGGCGCCACTCACAACTACCAGCAAAAGCTCTTTGAAAAGCATCTGGAAACAAATAAAAAGACAAAAGAAAAAAGGCAGAGAAATCCGATAAAAAATGAACGAAACACTGAACGTAGGTCAGAAATACGAAAAGTAGAATATTTAGTCAAATCAATTCAAAAGTTATGGTTGAGTGGATTTCCCGGAAATCAGGTTTTTTTCCCCGAATGACAATTTTCGCAAGAAGTCACCGAAAAGCCGCTACAAAATAAAACAGTCCAAGCTGCCAAAAAGCTTCGCACCATATTCACTTTGACAAGAAAAAGCCATTGAAATTTTGCTGTCGGTAAGAAAATGCTTGACAATTTTTGAGAACATTTTCAGCGCTCGGTTAATGGCTTATAAAATCCAATCATTAAAAGTACAAGGCTTACTCATTAAAACAAAGAAAAACTTATACTTTTGAAAAAAATGCATTTTTAGTTAAAGTTTTTCTTAGCGTTTGCAAAATAGAAATAAAAATTGCCCAGGATCATCAATTTTTTATGCGTTTTTGCATTTATGTAAATTGCAAAAACGCATATTGGGAAGAGGCTGTCTG